GACAAAGAAGAGGCGTTTCCTTGTAACACTGAGCCGCAGCCTGAAAATAGCTTGGGTTTTTTGGCATGTCAAGCTCCATGTTTGTGTTTCTTAACCATGGAGAACTTGACGTCAAGGCTTCGAAGGATTGCAAGACATTTTGAGGCCATGTGGACAGGGTTGCATCGATGGGAAATGGGGAGTGAACGCCTCAGAGGTCTTCCAAACAAACCGCTTGTGGTCACAGCAGATATCACAGATTTCAAATGCATAGCCAGAACACATCAAAATGCATTTTGCCGAGGCCTGGGGCGAGTGGACAGACTGCTCTGCCTCATGCTTCCACGCTCAGATGACCTCCGTGTTTTAGTCCATGCGCAAACAGATATGTTGAGATTTTCAACACGTTTCAACACTGGTTCTTCGGAACCTTTCTGGCTTGGACATAGCTGAAACTTCTAGCTGTTGTGCAACCTAAAACTATCTAAAAGTATGTTTTTCCACCTTCAAGCGGGCTTGCAAGTTGCTGAGGTGCCAGCAGCTACAGATCTCGTAGCCGCAATCTAGAAGTCCAGCTCACTGCTTAGATTGCAACGCTTCTCGGAGTGCTGAATATGACAAGAAATGACAGGATTTGACAAGAATTGTCAACAAGAATTTAAGATGGTTTTCAAGTCACGCTGCTTTCGTCGGGACCCTGAAGGATCGACAGCGAAGTTCGTTTGCTTTCGGGGATCAGATTGATCCAGGCCGAGCCCGTGCGGAAAAGCTGCAGCTGGTCAGCGGGATGAGTTCAGCCCTTGGACTTGAGCCGCTCTGGTTCTGGCTTGAGGGCGTTTGAGGTGATTCATCATGCACGAATAGATTATTTTGCATGTTCACTGGTACTTGCAAGGTATGCATTAAGCTGGGGGCTCTGAGAAGTAAAGGAAACTACTATTTTCAAGAAATACTAACATGCTGCTAGGACGCCGGCTTCAAGTCGGCACGACGGCTTGAGCGATTGGAATGCTGCAATGGATGCTGTTTGCAAGGGAAACAGCTATATAATTTGCAGTCAAGTCTGCTTCGGTATGATGGAGATCACAAAAAGACAAGGAAACAAGTCAAGGGGAAGCGTCAAAATACCTGAAGCAGGCCAAGTATGGTACCATAAAACAGCAACATCAGGCCAGCAGATTCAGCTCGAGTATGGCACAAAATCATCAGGAGAAAAGCTTCAACAGCGCAGGCGACGTGCTGGCATAAAAATTGCTAAACCTGAATCGGCAGAATGATATCTGAGCTTGGCCCCTCACCTAGCTTGTCCAAAAGAAGCTGTCAAAGCGTGCTGCTTTGCTTGTGCAAAAAGCAGCCACACCCGTTGGGAGGACCGCAGTGAACATAGTCAGGGGCCCGCCGCAATGTTTTCAGCCTGCTCAAAGGCGGACTGAGTTCTCGTGGCCCCTGCAGCAGAAAGCCACGAAGGTAGCCAGGGTTTAGGCCTGCTCTCATACGGAATGAAAACGGAGTTTGCCCCTGCCTTTTTGGTGCCGTGCAGCAGCATGAAAAAGCCCAACCCGATGCACCGCCTGCAGCCAATTTCGTAGGCAGCTCACTTCGCTGAAGCAACGTCAGATTTCAAGAGCAACAAGACTTTCATGAGCACGGCCGGTTTGGATGCGGGGATATGTTCGATGCCCTTTCTGCCCAGCTTGCCATTGAGTTTGGAGTCCGACCTGCTTGCGACATTCTTTGATGTCTTCCCAGGAATCACAGCCCTTGAAGCCAGCCTCTCTTGCACCACTTCACTAAACTGGCCTTCCGAGAGCTTGACCAAGGACCCTGGGCATTCTTTGGGTTCCTTCAATGGCAAAGCTGGGTGGCTGTGGTCAGGATTGAGCTTCTTGGGACTCATCGAAAGGATTTTCTATTGGAAATCATTCATCTCCTTCCGTCGACACTCTTCTGCTTCACTTTGCGGTTTTTCCAATTCCCACAGCTCTCCTTGTTTGTCGGCTGCGTTTTTCTCATCCAACAAAGCCTGCAAGGGAGCAATCTCCTTGCTCTCATGCCTCTTGGGTTTTCGTGTCTCAGAAGAGGAAGAAGAGGGTGAAGATGACCGCCGTCGGCGGCGACTGCTCTTTGCCCTGCGTCTTCGCTTGGTCTCAACGGATCGGATGTCGAGGACAGCTCTATGGACGGATTTTGTCCTTTCGAGCATAGCTTTCACCTCCCCCGGCCATGATGCACTGGACGGCCAGGCTGAAAACGTTCACCGTTTCTACCCGGTGGTTGCCCGGGCGAGGAGGACCCAAAACAGCAGCATCGAAGCCAACGTGGCTTTCGCAGGTGCATTACAGGACGTGCTTCAGGTTGCACTTAGAGCCAGTTCTCAGAAAGCCTAGTTCGTCTTTGTGGTTCGAAAGCAAGGAGCTAAAATGTTGAGGAAATTGGATTCTGAACAATGCCAATGCTGATCTGCACAAGCTCCATGAGCAAATCAGCCCAATCAACCTCAGTGCCTGCGTGCGGTAAATCAAATGAAACCTGATAGACAAGCGCTGGAGCATCACACAAACAGGAAGTGAAAAACAAAGCTCCGATCTGGAGAAGGTGATCCACATACCGAAGGGACAAATTTTGCTGGCTCCAACGAAAATCTGATGATCCCAGCGTGACCGATTTTCAAGCCATCGGTGCTCGTTCAGGCAAAGCACCAGAGCTGACGCAATCATTGACATGAGGCCACCCATAGGCAACGTGGCCAGCTGCACGACGTGGGAACTGGGGACCGACCACAACATGAACGACAGTGATTGCGGCAGCAAAGCCTAGGAAGAGCTCCGAGAAACTTAAATATTTATATTTCCAAGCGCATGCAGGGTTTGGCATGTTGGGCAAGACGCCTATCTTCTTTTTTTCGTCGAAACACAGATGCATAGAAACGCCCTGTGATGGACTGTGCCAAATCCAAGACCCGCGCAGCTGCAGATAAAGCCTCTTCAACACCAACGCAGTCAAAGAATTGGCCAGCATCATGAACAGTTGTAACCATGCCCGCTTTTCCCTTTCGCAGCGCGCGCAACTGAAAGGATCATGGGAACGCACCAGCTGACCAATTTTGGTCTTGAGAGCTGCAGGAGGGTCTTCCATACGCCGGATTTGCCAGCTATGACACCCGTTTTGCAAAGCAAGCTGCAAGCCCCTTGAGATCATGCGCCAACGACATTTCTTCGGCCAACGTGCAAGAGTGACCATGCTTTGTACAAATCCTGCGAAAATCAGAGAAGCACTTAGACTCAACGGTAATGTACACGGAAGGCAAAATCCAAACACTACGGTGCATGCCAAAAAAAAACAACCAGGTTCCGGGGTAGCAAGGTCAAGGTATTCCAGCAACACAGGTTATATTTGCAAGCTGGGATGACAGGTCAATGAGAGTCCAATTTGCCGGCATAAGCGCGAAGAAAGCCAGTAGAACATGATAGCAGCAGGTGGGAAGCTTCCATGCATGCTTTAAATTTTGTCGTCAGGCACAATGGACCACTTGGCATGAGGGTTCATGTCATGTGAATGTTGCACATAGCGTGGCTGATGCCAGTCACGTCGTTTGCCATAGGATGCAGCAGGAGGGTGAGACAACACAGTCTTTCTGGTGGGCCTGCTGAGCGCATGCTTTTTTGGCGTGCTTCACAAGCTCATTATCATGTTGCAACACCGGCGTATCCCAGTCTTTGCCTACTACATGCATGTTGTTACCCGAGATGGCGGCCAGCAGGTCTACACTGGACACCTGGGCAACATGTGACCATTGCATGTTTTTAGCATCCTTGGTATGGACCCAGAAGTCCTTGTGACAAACCAATTTTGCAGCAATAACCTGGTGCTTTGACATGCGCCATCTTGCTTCAACTGCGTGCAAAGTATTGAAAAGGACAGACCCCAACTCATGGCGCACAAAAGGAACAAACTCTTTCCTGCAAAACCTCTTTCCCGCAAAACTTTGCCCAAGGCTTCGCGTACCCTGCGCCATCTCTAAGATCCTTTGACAAGGTTCTTTCGTGTTCAGGGGCAAGGCCATAGGAGCAACAGCTGGACATGCACAGGTGAATAAATATTGATGGCAAAGGACCGACCATGAAAAGCAACCCCAAGACGTTGACATGCCTTAACGCAGTGGTGAAAGACCACGGTGACATGACATGTCAAATGGACCATCATCACTTTATCCATGAACTTCCCCCAAGTAGACAGCGCATGAGCGCTGGGGAGCAGTAACCTGCCCCCGCAGCAGACCACAGCAAGCAGGCCGCAGCCCAGAAGAGAGCCGCAGAAACCACAACCACCCCAAACCAAAAAGGGGGGAAAAACAAACGGAACCAACCACCACCCGGAGCCAGCCACCCGAAGCACGGACGAAACCACGCTCCAGGCAGCCGAGCCACCAAAGGCACGAATGAAACCATCGCACCCCAGGTAACGAGTGAAGTGAGCAAATGAAGACCAATGGCCGCCGAAATGCCAAAAGGACAAAGCAACAAGCCAAACAACAAGCCAAGCCATCAAGCAGAAGGATGAGCAAGTTCCCACAACAAGCGCTGCACATAAACAAGCCAGTCTTGAACAGCAACAATGTCAGCTCTCTGATTGGTGATGACCCAACCATAACGAGAAGAGAGGCCCTCGTTAGGTTTCGGAGGAATGTCTAAATCGGGAGGCCGATAAAGACAACACCAGCAAATATGCTCAAACGTGCCAAGCTCACCGCAACCATTCCAGATGCAGGAAGTCGTCAACTCACCGGGCCCGCGGCCACCACGGGCAGCAGGGGAGAAAAGCGCACCAACACAAACAGAACGATCTTCCGCGCACGAAGCAGCCCAAGCACGGGTCGCAGCCCAATCGATTCTCTTGAAGTAACCGGCATGGAAACAATCCAACGCAGAATCACGACGAGAAGACGACATGTGACGGTGCAAGCACCAAGCATGCCAAGCGTCACGAACCATGTGCTGCCAACAACCATCTTCACCATGATGACCATCATCATTCAAGTTCAACGTGTGACCGGTATCAGCATGAGTCCATTTCCACTCAGCATCAAACGACCAGCCACGAGAACGGAGCCAAGCATTCAAAGCACACGCCGGCGAACCGCCACGAGTGCACCAAGTCAAAGTCCGGTGCCGACGCAAGCGCGCAAGAATGCCAACCAACTGGGTGGGTAGCGAAGAGGATATCCAAATGCATGCCACCACCGAACAAAGCAGCCCTAAGCCAAACAGAAGCAAGCCGAAGACGACGACTGCCAACATGCACTTGACTCCACAAATGGGTGCACAAGGTCAAAGGAGGCGCGCGGGCAATCCAACCATAGGCAACTTTCGACACCGCAAATTGCCGACAAGCTCTCATGTACCGCTCAAAAGGCAAGCGAACGCAAGATAACAAAGTCAGGGTCCGTTTACAAGCGTCGACCCTACCAGCCTCTTTCCCAAGGAGGCCGCGTCTGGTAACCATGCTGCACGAACCAAGAATTTCCACATCATTGCGAACCGCATCAGGCAAAACCCTCCGCAACGTGGCGCGCAGCCGCGCCGCTTGGTTTGCGCTGCAGGCGACGTAGTTGCCTTGCGCCAACCGGGCCTTCCCAAGCAGTGTGCAATGGCCCTGGTCTCCCTGTTTTTCGGCGCCCCTTAGAAGTCTGCCGCAGCATTTGCGTCGGGGTGCGCCTTTACCAGGCCGCGGATGCACCAGTGCGTTGACATTTGGCTGATGCACCTTGATTTCAATCAATTTGGCAGCTGAAATCTGTTCAACAGATCCCAATATGGTCACAATCCATACCGCATCAGCGCGGCACGCGGCTGGATCAGACCAAAAAACTGCTCTAAGAAGGGACAGAAAACCGAGGCACTGTCCAACGAAGACGAACAGGAAATCAGAACAGGGACGATTCTCCTGGAGCCATGGGTCACCAAGACAGAAGGTCTTGACAAGGAGCAAACAACAACAGAAGGAATGAAACAAGAGATGAAGCCAATGAAGAAACAAGGAGTTTACAGAGAAGTTCCCATCAGTCAACTCCTGCCAGAACAACGCAGGAAGATCATCAAGTCAAGATGGGTTCTCAGACAGACAGGCAACACAGCCAGAGCAAGGGTAGTTGCCAAAGGATGCACAGAAGAGATCAACGATAATGACGACATTTTTGCGTCAACGCCGATCTTTGTGCCCTTAGAGCGCTGCTCGTCTTAGCACTGTGCAACAGCTGTGTTTGTCTAACAAGAGATTCCTACATGTACCCGCCAGCAGGAGTTCTACAACGCCTTCGAACAGATAGCCTGGAAACTCAACAAAGCAATCTACGGACCGAGAAGCAGCCCAAAGGCATGGCAAAACCGTCTAGCAGAGGTGATGCAACAACTTGGCTTACGACGCCTCGCAAGCGAGCCCACCGCCTACACAACAGCACGAGGAGATGCACACATCCTATGCTACGTGGATGACCTCCTGTTCACACAAAATTCGATCACGGAGCTTTTCAAGAGCATCCAGCAATACGTTCCCTACGACCAACAGGAGACCTCACAGTTGGCAACACCACATGCTTCTTGGGCAGAAACATCTGCAACAAAGGTGATTACTTGATCAGCCTTGCAGACAGCTACACAACAAAACTCCTAGAGGAAGCAGACATGAGCAACTGCAATCTGGCACCAGCGCCAGGAAACAACACTACTCCGTAGATGGAACAGGAACTCAGCAAAGAAGAACATGCAGCCTACCGAAGGATGGCTGGCAAATTACAATGGATGACATACACAAGGACCAGATATTTGCTTTGCAACAAAGGAGCTCGCAGGACAATTGAGACAGTCAACAACAGCAGACCAACAAAAGTTGAAGCACCTACTGAGGTACATCAAGGGAACGCAGCCCAACAACCAAGACACAGACGACAGAAGCAACACCTGACATTCAGGTATTTGTGGTGACAGTGGCTGGGCAGGATGTCCAGCAACAAGGAAGTCAACGACAGGATTCCTGATCAAAGCCTTTGGAGCAACAATTCACTACTGCAGCAGATCACAAGCAACAATTGCGCTGAGCAGCGCGGAGGCAGAACTCTATGCAATCAACACAGTAGCAACAAAAGCACTACACCTCAACAACTTCCAGAAAGAAGTTCTCAACATGAAGAAGATCAATATCCGCATCCACACAGATTCTTCAAACACGAATTGTGTAGTCAAAGAAAGCGAAACACATTGAACTCAAACACCTGTTCATACAACAGCTGGTCGCACACGATGTTGTGAGGATAACCAGGATCAACACCACCAACAATCCGGCAGACGTCTTCACCAAATACGTTGTGGCAGAGACGCTTTTGCGTCACATCGGTGATATTGGGATCAACACACGGTAGAACAACAGTTTCACCGCAGCATGTGCGAACGCGTGCACACCGTGCGAACAACGTGCACAGCCTGTGCACACAAACATACATCCTTGTGAGCCATGGTGTCAATAAAGGTTGGCAACATGGAGTACACCATAGTAACGCACCAGGGAGTATACCATCATGATTCATGATACTATTCTTGTCACATCCCTCTTCGACATCACAGGTACCAACATGTTTGAGGACGTTTGGGACAACATGTGAAGCTTTTTTGAGTTCAACTTGCGTGGATGCCAACATTTTGTTGACAGCAGCGCGGAGGGCCAACAAGCGCCTGTTTTTATGGCAACAAAAATGATGCCAAGATTTGACAAGGTGATCACGACATTGAGCCCAACAAGATCCACCTTCGCCATGATGCCATCTTGTATCACCGATCTGAGCAACATGTTTTGGCTTTATCAGCAGGAGAGCTCATCATGGTTTGCTGAGAAGTCAACATGCGTCGATTATTGACCTTAGTGGCCAGCAGGGAGCTTACTTTGTTCAACAGGACTGCAAAAACAATCCAAGTGCAGCTGGAAGCCAACAATGTCTGGGAGCTCGATGCAGCAGAGATCGCACCGCAGCAACAGTGGAAGCTGCAGTATGACAAGTTTGGCCAGATTTTCAGCGACCTGATCTGGACCAACGGAGTGGTGGGTCCTACGACACACCGATTGACCTGAACAAGATCACAACTAGAGGATCCGCATGAGATTCCAACATACTTGAAGTATGAAACGGGCCTTGCACTATGGTGGAACCCAACAACTCCACCATTTGCCAGAGAACAAGAAGAATTTCATGAACAACTTGCTGAACAGCCAACGCCCGTTGACTGGGGGAATTCCATGGAGTGAAAGCAGAAGAGCATGTGAGGGGATCAACAGTCCTGTCAACATGGATGGAGACGTGCCCAACACCAGAACTTTGGTCGAAAGTTACATCAATGAGGCCAACACCTGGCGCAATGGCCGGCATGGTCAGACCAACGACTATGGCGAGGACAACGTGGAGGGCTGAACAAGCCAATATGGGATGATGACTGCCAACGCCCCGGGTTAAACACCCGAAAAAACAGCCAGATGCTGATATGCGCAAAAGGGACGCCATCAACTGAGAGTGCCAGCGGATAGCTTGTATACTAACACAGTTAGACGACAATCTTCTGACTGTCATCACTTTTGCGATGAAAAGTGTGCAGGCTGCAATTCCCAACAGCATAGACAGCGTAACATTGTTCCAGTCAACATGTTAGCGGTAAAGATTCAATAGGGTGATGCTGAGAGAACTTCAATCTGAGGGGAGGTGTGAACATCAACAATTCCCAACACACAGCTGTGCAGTTGCACATTCCATCCAACATCTTGTATCAGCATAGCCCTTGAGCCTATCCTGTGCCAACAGACAAAAGGGAGTGCGCACAGCAACAGCTGACACAGCAACAGAGAGTTCAACATTTTGGAAATAGCACCACATTTTCTGAAAACAGGTACGGTGGGTACACTGTACCAGTACGCCGTACCCACGGACCGTACCCACGTACCGTACCCACGTACCGTACCCGTACCGTACCCGCACCGTACCCGCATCGTACCCGTACCCAGTGTACGTACCCACGGTACGTACCCACCGTACGTCCCCGTACCGACGCCCAAGTCGTACCCAGTTTTAGGGTCCCCGGGCACCCGATAGAGCATAACTCTTAAGAATTAATAATTTACATTTACATGTGCATATTCGTATATTTTCATTGTAGTCACTGAACAATACTAGAGTCCTTAAAGGCAGCCATGTGTTCTGTAGCCCTTGAAAGATCCATAAACAGTCAAACAAGGTCTTCGACCTGACCACTTCCACGTCCACGCATCGATGTTTTGACGTGCGTTGGAACCCGCTTCAGGTTTCAAGTTTGCAGCGACCTTCCGCTTGAGCCTGAGTACATGGCTTGCAGCATCTTGCAACCAATGTTTGCGGTTGCTCCGGTCAGACTTTTACCGATAGACCCACACATCCTGCGCGTGTCTGTGCTCCACCGATGAAGATGACTGTTGAGCACAGCTTGCTTCATTCCACCCACACGTGACCATACTTGATATGTCAAGGCCATGCATCCCAGATTCAGATTGCATCCTCCATGAATGGGGCGAGTGGTTGGCTCCTTAAGTGACGCTGAGATACTTGCATAGAATGTCGGAGAAGGCGTGTTATAGAAGCCGCAGTTTGCATCCACATCCAGAAAGATAATCCAAATATCACTATATATTTTATTTGTAGGGCAAAAGACGACCTTGTGAAGACCATTTGCGAGATTTTCCCCTAGCATGGTTCACTTGTGGACCCTTCCAAGTGCAAACAAATACCGGTTTCATTTTCCAGAAACCAATCGGATCATTTTTTTTGGGGGGGCTCCCTTGGCGTGATGTGTTTGACGCGGCTAAAGCTGCAGCAAGGCCTTGACAACATGGGTGTGATGTTGAAGTTGCATCTATGACTTGCGAAAAAAATCAACCACCAAATCGGGACTTGAACAAAACAAAAAGTGGCTTCGAGAGACGCTAGGCTTCACATCCACGCGACATTGTGGATTCAAACCGATTCCACCCAGGTCACACTGCAGCTGCCATTGCTTTGGCATTCGCGAAAGGCAATTCCTCAAACATTTCGTTTCGCGTTTTTTATTTTGTTGCGCTTTCGGCCACGCCATCTTTTTCAGACACTGAAGAAAGCAGTGGGGGAGCTGCTCGGCTATGAGGAACCGCTACATCTCGCACTTTGCAACGGGTAAGGGCAAACCATGTCCAGTCACAGCTTTGAAGGCTCGGCGCGACTAGATTGTATTCTATGAGCCTCTGACCCGCAGATTTGATTCGTTCATTTGTTTCATCAGTTTTCTTTAGCACACATGCGTGAATGGAGAGAGCAAGCATCGCATATTTCGTGGACGTTGAGAAAACATGGCGTGCTGCGGTTTTTACCCAGATGGGTTCTGAAACACACACACGCACACAAACACACACTTGTATCCGTCCCCAAATGGTGAGGAGGCCGCCTACTGCGTCATCAAGTCTCATTCTGCAAGTCCTGAAAAACCATACATGGGCATCATGTGCCCAACGTCCTGATAAACCAATATTGATACATGAATTTGAAGGTGGATTCATGTGGGACCCCCAACTGTGACCATTGCGCCCAGGAACATCCCTAGCAGGCACGTTTACACACCTGTCAATGACGGTCTTCGTTGGCCGCAGCGTCAAAGACAGGCCGCCTGCTTAAGTAAGAAACACAAAACTGAACGTAGACAGGGTTTGACACACACACACAATTTCCTTACAAGGTCGCTCCTTTTTCACTGACATAGAAGGCATGGTGCTGCTTTGGCACATTGATGAACGACTTGACGTGTCAAAGAACAAATTGCAGTACGTCTGACATGTTCAATCTCATTCGGGTCATAGCCATGCTTCTCAAAGAAATTGCACAACTGCAGCGTCATTGGAACAATATGTCATAACAGGGGAAAGTATACTTGATGATGAGAGCGAGACGACTACGCAATCCCGACATTAACAAATTCAGTGAACAAGAGCTGGACGGGCTCCGAATTTGCCATCGTTCTTCCTAAAAGGATATACTTGATTTGCCTGGACCCTGGCACCACGTCAAAACCCAGAAAATGGTTATCTTCCACCAATTCAAGTTGAGAACAGGCGGTCCGTAAACATCCGAATGCAAAAAGGTTTGAACTGCACTATGTGCTTTGCTCGATTGCGACATCAATAAAACCCTGTTGTCTACATATCGCCAACGGTGAAAAATCCTGTGTCCCACAAATTGAGAGGACAATGCCCTTGACCATGCTACTTCAACAGCCGCGACAGCTATTTCAGAAAGGATTGGGCTAATTTGGTTTCCCATACATGTTCCACGAATTTGTCGGTATGCATTGCCAACTGCAGTAAACCGACCACATTCAAAAGAAAGCTGCACCAGCGGCACCAGATGTTCTAACCATAGTCGCTTGAAGTTAGCATGTGAACTTTGCTTTTGAAAATCCCAAATGAACAGCAGAAGTCTTGATGGAGCCGTGCACATCCACCATTACACAAGGAGCAGGATGCTTCGATTGAAATTCACGCAGCATAGCCTCTACCATGGCAAGCAACCGTTCTTGTTGAATACTGTTGAAAAAGCCGACGAAATCGTCGTTGTGAAAAAACAGTGATTCCTGGATGGGTGTTTCAGCAAAAACTTTGTGGATCTTCCGCCACATGATGGGCGTAGCGCTGCCCCCAAAGCTAAACCCCCAAACAGTGGTAAGAAGCTGTTTCAACACCAAAGCAGCGCCGGTAAGTAGCTTTGCAAGAATTGTGCCACGGTATGCGACGATGGTTCGTCCGACAAGAAACGTTTTTTTGCGCTTTAATAGCACATATCCATATGGAAGTGAGGCTGAAGTATCAAGTCCCCACTGGTACTCTTTACGCACCAGGCTGGAATTGCCTGCAGCGTTGTTTGTCTGTGAAACTCGGTCGAACCTTCCAGTTGTTCGAAGATATCCGGCGGTTCCAAGCTCTAACAGAAGATTCATAGTAAAGACATGGACAAAAACATCATGAAATGACCTGGCTGGTGATCTTGGCAATGTATCACAAAATCTTTCAACACATGTTTTTTCAAAAACATCGCTTTCTTCATAGTCAGCAAACTGCTAGAGGCGTCGCGGTGTCGAGTCCGCTCTACATGTGCCAGGTGCAATTGCCAATGCGAACTGACAAAAACACGGAATTCCGAAACCCAATGGAGGGGGAGCCCGTGTCACTTTGACCAACGAATGAACTGCTGCTCTGTTTTTTGGAAATATTGCTCTTGATTAGGAAAAACCAGAGTTCGACTGTTGTACAAAAGGTGAGTCCCCAAGTCACCTGGAATCTGCGCTGCAATTTGTTCTGCGGAAGCAAAAACATGGCCACCAGTCGTGGGGAGACCGGAAAACTGCTTGCGAATTTGAACGCAACGACACACAGGTTGAAATTTTTTGTGGTTCCACAGAAGCTGATGAAAACTAGAATGCGCACTTTCCCGAATACTACCAGAAGGAAGGTGAAAAGGAATACGCCAGGACTTGTGCTCCAGAATGTACCAGCGTAACCATTTTTTGCACATACCAAAAAACTCCGGGTGCGACAAGGCAGAAATGGATTAAAGAAATGATTGTGCAGGAAAAACCAAACAAGAAGGTGGACAGCAAACTGAGTTCTTGCCAGAAAATGCACAGCACATTGGTTATTAGTCCTTCCCTCTAACGATCTGTCATCATTAGACCCCATCATCATCATTATCATCATCATCGTTGTGAAAACCTTCAAGGGGCACAGCGAGAACATGCACTGTTTTCCACAGACCACAGGGAAAGAGCTACCGGATCTGATTTGGTGTTTCACACCCGGCCTGCCAAAAGTTGATTGAAATTACTGCCAAAGCTCCTATTGCCTCGGGCATCAATATCAGAAACTGGAGCTTTTCGCGCCAAAGGAATGATCACGGCGCATGCGAACCACCCCTCGCAATCTACAAAGGTCTTGAGCTTCCGATCCTCCACCAGAATTCATGGTGGCGTGTTGTGAAGTAATTTCGGCGGTCCCGCCGATAATTGCAGGCGTCGCCCATTTTCCACTGGTCATTACACGATGAACAGCATGTTTTATATCCCAGTCATTGTCCGACACCGCTACCCGGCAATAAAGCCCGACTGCATCTACATCCGACAATGCAGGTTTGATGTTCTTTTCAGACATCACCCGCCACAGACTACCAGCCTCAGCTCCATGAAAGAATGAATACGAATAACGCCAAACCGTGTTCATTGTCGGCGGTGTGTCTTTAGAGAGATGAAAGATCCACATAGCTCATGTTTCAGAAACTTTGAACTCTACTCGCTCCACAATGTCACTAAGATTCTTGGCCACAGAACAAACAAGAGCAGCAGCATATCTGTTCTCGAATTCAGGAAGGTTAGGAATTCGTGCTTGTGTGTAGATTTGAAACAGTGAATTCATCATCAGCCTCCATTCATCTTGTGGAGGAGCCAAAAAAGTGAGCTTGCTTGGCCAACTTTGAAATTCATCACGATGTGCCTCATAAAAGGCAACTTGTTCAGCATCGACCAAAGGAACTTGCTCCATCATTTGCCATTGCCGGCCCTGTTCCAAAAAATTGTGTGTTGGGTGCACCGGTCTGCCCATCAAACCCAAAAGGCTGGCTGTTTGCTGCAACGGTGGAATTTCTTGTTAAGAAACCCGAAGTCGCTGTGGTAAGAATTGTTGCGGTGCATGTGATGAAGCAACCACTGCTGATGAGTGTTGTTGGTTGGCATTTGTGTGAGCTGTTAGCTGTGTTGTGAGCGGTGTTGATTGCGTTGCTGTTGCTGTTGGAATAGGAATGGCTGGTGGTGGCGGCGGCGGTGGTGGTGGCAACGGCGCATTGTGCGCAGGAGTAACCTGCTGTTGGCGACCTGCACTGCTGCGGTCTTGCAATTTGCGACGAAGAGTTTCGACAGCAGTGTCAGTTGTTTGCTGAAGTGACTCCAACATCTGAGCTGGTGTGCCCCAATGACCCGGTGCAAATCTGGTTGCTAGTTGCCCTGGAAGTGGCGGAGCTGCTTTTTTTGTTGCTTGCGTGTAGACATATGGATCGGTTCGCTGTTTCGGAACATGAACGGGCACGGGAGAAGCGTATGTATTGCAACCTTCTGCTGGTGTTGCAACAGTGGAAAGCAATGTGGTTGTTGTTGGCGTTGCGGTGTACGCATGTGGGCCCGGGGGTGTGAGCCACCTGGCCCCCACGTTAGGCGCTCCATCATGCGGCTGATTGCTGGATAGGGCTGATGTGTGTGGATGATGTGAATACAAGCCAACAAACCCTGGAGGAGGTGAACTAGGACGCGGTGGTAGTTTACGGGACGGTGCGTGTAGCACAGGTTGGATGTGATCATCCGATGACAAGGAGCGGAATTTTGAGCTCGCCTCTCTGAACCGTTGGCCACGACTACGACTTCGTGGGTGTTTTGACCTCCTAGATTTTGCTTCTTGTTTGCTGAGAAGTTCACCCGCAGGACGTTTTCTATGTGAAGAATCAGGTGAAACATGTCTGGGCTCTGGACTGTCTGCACAATCTCTCTGTGTCCAGGATCCCTGGACCTCTGACCTGCTGTCTGTGAGGATCCAGTACCAACTTGAAAACCACCTCCGAAATAGAAGTGGTAGTTCGACATGACTGCACTTGAAAATTACGAAAACGTGTGCCAAGCACAAGCAAAACCATTGAAAATTGGTTTTAAACCGTCAAGACCATTAGTTGGATTAGTGTTGACTCTTGTGTGGCTGATGTCTCCTGATTGCAGCTCGAAAGTTATTTTTGATAAACACAGATTGCTGCAGTGGGAAAACAGCAAGATTGAATGACGTCAATGATCAAGTGGAAGAATTAACGGTTGTTTCCACCAGAATCAAAACCATTCATTGTATGTGGGGTGGCACACTGAATAAAAGCAGTTTCCGCGTACGTGTGTGCTTCAGAAAAAACAATGATGTATGATGTAATGAGCCAGCATGAATGCTGGGCCTCACATTTCCACATTGCAAGATTCAGAAAAAATGTCCCTCGCAAAAGCGGATTCCAAGAAAAATGGTGAACTGGACGCATGTCACAAAAGAGAAAAAGTCGCTGGTTGGTTTCTCTGAGTTTGTATTGTTGAACACAGGTTCAAGGACGTCATGTAGATGTGAATTTTCCCGTATCTTGTTGACCATCAACTCTCAGTATCTTAAGCCAGTGAACGCAGTGTTCAACTGGTGGAAACTGTTTTGCGTTGAAAGATAGCGTTGGATGAAGATTGCAGACCTGCTGCAATGGAATCCCGGAGTGAACCGGATCCAATCACTATGAAATCGAAATACCGGAGAACAACCGATGGAAACAGCCGGGCGCTCCCGGTCACGACCAGCTCTTTGACAGTATCTGGCCGAAACACACTTGTATCCGTACCCAACTGGTGAGGAGGTCGCCTACTGCGTCATCAAGTCTCATTCTGCAAGTCCTGAAAAACCATACATGGGCATCATGTGCCCAACGTCCTGATAAACCAACATTGATACATGAATTTAAAGGTGGATTCATGTGGGACCCCCAGCTGCGACCATTGCACCCAGGAGCATCCCTAGCAGGTACTTTTACACACCTACACCTTTCAATGACGGTCTTCGTTGGCCGCAGCGTCAAAGACAGGCCGCCTGCTTAAGTAAGAAACACAAAACTGAACATCTCACAACGTTCTTTGCCCTTAGTAGACAGGGTTTGACACACACACACACACGCACACAAACCAATACAGAGCTCCGCGTTGTGCTTTGATACGTACTTAGCCTACCTACTGTACCCCTTAAAACCCTGTTTATGAACGGAAAACCACAAGTGCATAGGGCTGTTAGCTCAGCTGTATGGATGCATAGGATTGGCCGAACTATTTTTTTTATGCCTGTGCTACTCGAATGAAACTTCTGCAAGCGAAGATCCGATGAAGATCTGCAGAGGTGGTTGAGCCGTGCAATCCTGGACCGTTCTATGCTCAGAAGATAGAACTGTTCAGGGAAGTTGCAGAGTAGAAAGATTGAAACTGAAAGATCACAGATATTATTCATAACTGCATAACCGTGTCAGAAAATTACATGATATTACTACATGTCAAATGTATCAATGTATACACATAACATTGTGGGTGAGTCAGATATAGTTAGATGACCAGATGGCGCTCTGAGGGTGACGACCTACAATCCAGATGAGAAGTACGCCTTGCCCATAAAGCTGCAGGTGCATCAGTCTTGAAACTGCGTGCGCCACAAGCTTTGATTCTGACTTTTGCCAAAAAGCTTTGAGCAGAGGAATAAAATCTTGAGCCAGGATCCTCCATTGGATTGTCAAGAGAAGCCGACCTGAACTAAGAAGTGGAGCAGAGAGAAGGAGCTCTTTTTCAGATGGCACTGCAGCTGCTTGTTTATTCTCTTTGTACCATGTACATCAGATTGGTCGCAGAGTTCGGATGTCGTCATGGTTTGGCTAAGTAGTGAGGCCCGTCAATTGCGAGCTTCATCCGTGGAACGAATGGCAGCTAGCCTAGCTTCTGACACCTGGGCATCTTGTGACTGCACTGAAGCCGCTGAAGTCACCGTCGCTGAAGTTGTTTCCCAGCTGACCAAGAATTCTGTAATCTTGCGTTTTTTTTTCACTTGTTGTAGCTCTTGCGCCGAAAGACATCATTCATTCTATTAGGGTTTGCGGTGTTGTGGTGTTTGCCGTGCTTTCAAGAATTACATGACTGGCATTTGCAGCTTGAAACAATCGATCTAAAGAATCTAAGTCAGGAAAGCAACCACTAGTGTTCCAGCACAGAATCCACTTGGCTCAATGATGATTCATTTCTCTGTTTTGAGGGACAGTCAGGGACAGAATCAGTTGGACAATCCTAGCAATTGCGACACGGATTTGGCTGGAATTTGAAGCCATTTGCTGAAGGACTCAATGCTCAAGTGAGTGTGGTGGAGGGCAGAGAGAACGCAGCCGCACTGCCGAAGACTCAAGTGATCAAAAAGATTCCAAGTGATTCAAACTGGTTGTTCTTGTTGGCTTTGATTTCAACTAAGCTCAAGTGGTATTCTTGAACTTGAAACGCTGTGGCCTCAGCTCTTGAAGGAGAGCATGTGGCTACGTTATTTGGTTCAGAATCCATATTGCGATTCCTCCGGAGACGCTCCGTGAATATGCAGAGGGGGAACCTGGTATGGCTCTGGTTTTAGCCAAAACAATCCAATATCCAAAACATATTGAATGTTCAGGTTTCATGACCGGCAATCCTTTGTTCAGGTTCGAACACCACCGAAGCATGGCGGAAAGCCCTGCAGCACTCCCAGGGGGACAGAGAAACTCGTTGATTTTCGAGTGGGTATGGAACTGCGCGCGCAGCATGATGCACAGAACATGGTAGCCTTGTTCAGAAATCACAAGCTGTTTGAACATTAAAGTAGACATCAAGCCCCAGTGTTCGCGGAGCGAGGGAGAGAGAAAGAGAGGGAGAGAGAGAGAGAGAGAGAAGACCCGGTAGAAGATACTATTCCAGACAGTACAGGGCCGACGAGCGGAATTTTCAAAACCAATCTAGGGGAATGGGAGATATAGGAGTCGACGAGACAAAAGACGTAGTTCAAGTCACTGAAATGCGCCGAGCAACTGCCCGTCCCCACTCCCGTTTAGGATTCGTTCTCAGTCTATGGCAAGCAAAGCGAGCTGACTGTCGCAGCCATGATCCGCACCAACTCAATGGGAAGACAATCTGCAAAAGCCTGCATGGATGGATTATTTTTCCCCAATCAGCAATGTGTGTGTGTGTGTACCATCTGAATAGATGAAAAACTTCTTATCTTGCAGGGGGTCACCGGGGTCCCGGGGGGGTCGGTGACCAACGAAGACACCTCCCCGGGACCCGTGTAAACGTACCTGCGGGACTGTGGTGGTGCACCTGGGCGCATTTAAGTCGCAGCTGGTGGCCACCACAGTCCCATATATATATATATATTTATATTTTTTCACTTCTTGTGTTAGGTTTTACTGGGGTGTTTTTGCACGTCTGATGCATTCCACATCAACAATTCGCAATGTTGTTTCTGAGCAAGTGTGTCATTCCTGCTGTATACGTCAAGTTGGCAGGAACCCTTCGGGGAAAGCCTTTCCAGGCTAACAATTGACAGTAAAACGACGTCTGAACTTACACTTTTGAATTAGTAATTCGTTTAAGTAAAGTGAACTGCTGGCCTTTTTTCGCTTTTCACCCTGTCGTTGTCGTGTGGTTGAACAACTGGCCGCCGTGGGGCTTCAATTTTTTCAGTGGACTTCTCATACGTCAAGTTGGTAGGAACCCTTCGGGGAAAGCCTTTCCAGGCTAACAATTGACAGTAAATCGATGTCTGATTTTACACTCTTGAATTAGTAATTCGTTTAAGTAAAGTGAACTGCTGGCCTTTTTTCGCTTTTCACCATGTCGTTGTCGTTTGGTTGAACAACTGGCCGCCGTGGGGCTTCAATTTTTTCAGTGGACTTCTCACTGCATCCATGTGGAGGCGTCAGGACATGCTTTAGGTGTGGTTTTCTTTCTTTTGATGGTCGTTGGTGAGGTTCAATTGTGCACCTAATTCACTTGAATACTGACAGCCGTCGATGGGGTTGAAATGAATGCCGAGGGCCTTTGAGCCTTATCACGAATCCTGCATGCGTTGTGGTTGCATCATTTCTTTAACTAGTTCCCCATGGGTCCCTTTTTTCATGTGTTCCTGCGTTCTCCTCTCTCCAGGTAGGTTGGGTCCTGCGCGTGCCAAGGTAGGCGTAGGTTTTCGCCGTGTTAGGTTGGTTCAGGCGCTTCCGTCCTTCCCCCCCCTCCGCTGGTCTTGTTCCGTTGTCCGTCGGCCTCCGCTTTTCTTTTCCCTTGCCTTTTCAGGGTTTGCCCGTTTCGGGCCAGGTGTGTCGTGTTGGTGTTCTCTCTGTCCCTCTTCTTTTGCGTTCCCCTCTTCGCGTCCTGGTTAGGTATTGTTCATTTCATTTTCATTGTCACCTCACTTTCATTTTGATTTCATCTGCCCCGCCGCGGTGGGGCGTGTGTGTGTACCATCTGAATAGATGAAAAACTTCTTATCTTGCAGGGGGTCACCGGGGTCCCGGGGGGGTCGGTGACCAACGAAGACACCTCCCCGGGACCCGTGTAAACGTACCTGCGGGACTGTGGTGGTGCACCTGGGCGCATTTAAGTCGCAGCTGGTGGCCACCACAGTCCCATATATATATATATTTATATTTTTTCACTTCTTGTGTTAGGTTTTACTGGGGTGCTTTTGCACGTCTGATGCATTCCACATCAACAATTCGCAATGTTGTTTCTGAGCAAGTGTGTGCGTGTATCATCTGAATAGATGTATAACTCCTTATTTTGCAGGTACCATCTGAATAGAAGTAAAACTTCTTATTATTGCAGGGCGCTGGGGAACATTGCAGTCAGGGGCCAACGAAGACGCTGCAATGTTCCTGTGAAAACGTGCCTGCATTTTTGTATATATGTATAGTCCCCCCCTGGGCGCATCTAAGTCGCAGCTGGGGGGGACATATAATTTATCGCTGTTGCTTTATACTGTCAATGTCTTCTGTGATCATATATATTTCACAGGTCCATCTCATCGTGTTATGTTGTTGTTAGTGTTTTTTGCACGTCCGGTGCGTTCCACAGCAAAATTCGCAACCACAGTTCTGATCAAGGGTCAAACATCTGTATAGATGGAAAACTTCCATGAACCCTCTGGCGATTCTTGTTGTCTCGCCCCAGTGAACCATATGGCGATTCCTCGTATCTCGCCTGAATGAACCAAATGGCGATTCCTCGTGTCCCACCGTCGTGAACCCAACACATATGCAGGAGGATGAGGGCCCCTTGGTGTGCCTCATCTAACAAAAAGACCGCGCCAAGTGGATGTGACATCAGTGCCCGGTCAGCACTGACGTTCCTGCACTTTATATTTCTACGCTGTTGGTTTATATGTCAAAGGCTCCTGTGATTTTTACCGATGTGGCATGGGGCTAAGCCAAGAACCCCAAAACAACATGTTCCGTCATTGGTTAGCAGCGATTCAGTTCCCAACCGATCATTCAAATGATCCAGTTCTTCTCTAGTGTGGTCTCCATTGTTGTTTCAACAAGGTGCCATGGACCCAGTTGAGGGAAAACCCTTTTCAGGGTGAATGTAGATGATTGGGCCTCTGAATTTACACATTTTAACTATTCGCTTACGTAAAGTGAAACAGTCGGCCATTCCGTTCACCACCATTTTGCGACTTCTCGCCGCTCCTGCTGTCTTGGAGAACGTTCGGAAATTTTCCTGCTTTGACCAAGAGAGACTGACGAAACAGTCAGAAAGTGTTTTTTTACCACAGACAGCGCTACAGCCTGGCTTTTTCCTTTAGGTGTGGTCGTCTTTGGTATCTGGTGAAGTTGATAAGTTGTGCGCCTAATCCGTGAATAATTGCATAGCTGTTTAATGCCCACTTGTGGGTCCCCTTTACTGTCCCTCTGAGGGAATAATGCGCGACCTTGCATTTAGGAACTGAATCCCATTTGGTTTGAACTGTTTACTCCTGGTTGCAAATGGCGATTCGGTGTGTCTTGCCTGAACGAACCGAATGGCGGTTCCTCGTGTCTCGCAATTATGAACCCAACACTGCTGTCTCACCCCTGTGAACCCATTGGCGATTCCTAGTGTCTCGCTTCTGAAACCAAATAAGGCGATTCCTACTGTCTCGCCATTGCGAACCCAATTTTCAGAGGCGATTCCTGGTGTCTCGCTTCTCTACACCGCCCGGCATTGCCGGGTGTGTGTGAAACATCTGTATAGATGGAAAACTTCCATGAACCCTCTGGCGATTCTTGTTGTCTCGCCCCAGTGAACCATATGGCGATTCCTCGTATCTCGCCTGAATGAACCAAATGGCGATTCCTCGTGTCCCACCGTCGTGAACCCAACACATATGCAGGGGGATGAGGGCCCCTTGGTGTGCCTCATCTAACAAAGACCGCGCCAAGTGGATGTGACATCAGTGCCCGGTCAGCACTGACGTTCCTGCACTTTATATTTCTACGCTGTTGGTTTATATGTCAAAGGCTCCTGTGATTTTTACCGATGTGGCATGGGGCTAAGCCAAGAACCCCAAAACAACATGTTCCGTCATTGGTTAGCAGGGATTCAGTTCCCAACGGATCATTCAAATGATCCAGTTCTTATCTACTGTGTCTGTGTATGGTGTTTGTTTGTGTGAACCATCTGAATAGATGCAAAACTTCTAATTTTTCCAGTTTGCAAAGGTAGGGGGATGGAGACGACATATGAGGCTCCATCCAATGAAGCTCCTCATATGATCCTAGGATATCACCAGGGACGCCTGGTGACGTACCTGCAGAACAATTTCAGCTTTGCAATTTCTCGTCAATGGCAACCGGCTAGGCCAAGAACCGGCATGTCGTTTTTCAAATAGTTTTCCAAACTTTGAGTTTTCCACTTGACGTCACTTCAATGCCTGTACGGATTTCGCAATCTGTCAAGGAAGTAACGAGTTGGCTTAGTTCTTGCATCTAGCAGTGGCTTTGGGAGTGGAAACTTCTTGATTCTGTCTCGGGTCTTGTCACGGACCCATTCCTGTCAGGTATAATTGGGGTGTTTGTGCGCGTAGGATGCATTCCACATCAGAATTCGCAAAGATTGTTCTGAGCAAGTGTGTGATTCATGCTGGATTCGTCACGGTGGCATGAACCCCTCGGGGAATGCTTGTCTAAGCAGGAAAGCGAAGCAACGACTTGACTCTGAATTTACAATTTTCAACCTAGTAATTCGTTTAAGTAAAGTGCAACAGCTGGCCATTTTTCGAATTTCATCCTGTCGACTGTCGCCTTGTTGAACTGCTGGCCGCAGTTGGGGCATTCACCAATTTTCATTGGGTAGTGCTTGCGTAGCTTGAAGCTGCGACAACATTTTCTTTTCCAGTGATGCTCAAGAGACAGACTTCACTTCATGCATGCTCATGAGATGTCAGGCAAAGGACATGCCTTTAGGTGTGGTTCTCCTTTCTTTTGATGGTTTCTGGTACGGTTCGAATGTGCATGTAATTCATTTGACTACCGACAGCCGTCCATGGGGTTGATTTGATGACCGAGGGCCCTCGAGCCTTATCACGATTTTTGCATGGATTGTGGATGCATCATGTTTTGAACTGTTGTTATTGGACATTTATCAGACCTGACTTTTCCCACCATGTTCCCTGGTCGCTGGCCTAACTTTCCAGAGTCGATGTGGAACTTCGGCTGGTCAGCTCC